ATAAGTTACAGCTCCATTAGAGCATGACGTCTCTTCCACAACATCGTGTGACAAAACCTTCAGGGTGTTCTTCTTCTAATACGTTTAGTGGTGGCTAGTAAGTAGCTTAAGGGAGCACTACCGCCACCAGGTGGTAAGACCAGTTGGATTCTAGTCCCCGCCTACAGAGCCGGTCCAGAAATGTACATGGAAACACAACAGACCCGAACCGATCTGAACCAACCCGAACTGATCTGATCTGCTCTGTGACGGTGGAAAAGGGGCATATGTCTCTCAGTTGGCCTGGGAACGCCATGGAATCCTCCCAGAAGAGCTGGAAGAGGTGGCTGTGGAAAGAGATGTCTGGGCCTCCCTGCTCAAGCTGCTGCCCCCATGACCCGACTTCGGAATAAGCAGAAGATAATGGATGGATGGATGAAATTGAAATTTTCCTTGAAATAAACCGAATACCAGGAATTAGGAATGTGCGAAATGGCATAAAATTCATATCACAATATGTATTGTGAAGGGTGGCGATAACGATATATGTAGCGATATGTTTTGGGTATAAAACTTAATAGGAATTTTTTTTAAAGCATATGGTGTCCTTTTGCTATCATATACTGTATTTTGAATGAAAAAAATTCCACTACTAGGTCCAGAGAGTTTTTAAATAATAAACAAATTAGGCTTCTTGTTTGTAGTGCAAAACAGTGCAAAATATATGAAATGCAGCCATATGCTGGTGAAGATTCTCAGTCATCCAGGACATGATGAATTCAAAAAGCGTTCAATACAAAAACAACTGGACTTTATTTGTAACAGAAGACGTTTTGCTCCTCATCCGAGGAGCTTTCTCAATTCAAAGAGCAGAGAGTGAGAGATTCAGGTTATAAGGCTGAGTGAGATAAGACACACACACACACACATATGTAGATTGGCAATTCACACCTAAACACCTTAACAGTAGATGCCCCCCAAAAGTCTTTGTTCCTCTAATTCAAAGAATCTAATTCATTTGGTTCAGATGGAGAGAGAGGACAGCCTTCAACATTGAAGTGTACAGAAAACCAACCCACACAGACCAGTATCTTCTGTTTGACTCCCACCATCCACTGGAACACAAACTCTCTGTCATCAGAACTTTACAACATCGGGCCGAATGCGTCCCTGCAAAGACAGAAGGGAAGGAAAAGGAACAGAAACACGTCCAAGATGCTCTTCAAACATGTGGATATCCTAACTGGGCTTTTGTCAAGTCAGCGAGGAAATCTACAAAACACACCAATAAACAGAAAAAGGAGAACAACAGACGGAAAAACATTGTCATCCCTTATGTTGCTGGAGTATCAGAGAAATTCAGAAGGACCTTCAACAAACACAAGATCCCAGTACATTTCAAACCCAGCAGGACTCTCAGACAGAGGCTGGTCCACCCTAAGGACAGAACACCCATACACAAACAGAGTGGTGTAGTGTATGTGGTCCAGTGCAACAAGGACTGTCCAGACCTCTACATTGGAGAAACTAAACAGCCTCTTCACAGACGCATGGCTCAACACAGGAGAGCCACATCCTCTGGACAAGATTCAGCTGTTCACCTCCACCTCACAGATAAGGGACACTCTTTTGAGGACCAACATGTGCACATTTTGGACTGAGAACACAGATGGTTTGAGAGGGGGGTGAAGGAAGCAATTTATGTAAAAAGAGAAAAGCCGTCTCTGAACAGAGGAGGAGGCCTCAGATTTCCACTTTCAAAAACATATAATGCAACTTTAAAACAGATTCCCAGCCGGCTTTCACACCTGATGGGAACAGAGGGGCCTCGTCTGTGAATTAGAGGAACAAAGACTTTTGGGGGGGCCCTACTGTTAAGGTGTGAATTGCCAATCTACATATGTGTCTGTGTCTTATCTCACTCAGCCTTATAACCTGAATCTCTCACCCTCTGCTCTTTGAATTGAGAAAGCTCCTCAGATGAGGAGAGAAACATCTTCTGTTACAAATAAAGTCCAGTTGTTTTTGTATTGAACGCTTTTTGAATTTTAGCCATGTGTTTTAAACAAAAGAATATGTTGTTAACTTAACAGCTCCCAATCTTCTCACTTAAGAAATGAACAGCAACAGAGCAGCATTTTACACTGAAAACACTTCATCGTCCAACCCTCTAGAGGGCGCCTCCTTCTGCTTTAATGGAGAGTTGACACAAAATGAGTCTGTGGCTTTGACCAGAGGGTCTCGCAGTAAAATCACACAACACAGAGTTCTTTTCACAGATCAGAGAGCAAGTTTCTCTAAAGCTGACCAACGCTTACTTTAACTTTTGACGGAAAAATAAAACTTCGACGGAACACAGCGTTTTGCGCATGCGTCCGAATACGACAACACTACGGCAAGCCGGCCGTAGCTAGCTTATAGCTTCGCTACTTAACTCTCGAAGAAAAGATTTTAACGCCACTTATGCACAGTTTTCAACTAAAAAAAAGTAACGATCAAACTGGCAACTCTGATTTTACTTCAGACACGGCATTACTGCGGTTAGCCGGTAGAAGACAGACCTCTATCGTAGGCTAAATTTCTATCGTTTCTACCATATACCGTATATATCGCGCATTCCTACCAGGAATGCCACTCTGTACTGTCTGGAAGGCATTAAATGCCTAGTTGAGGGGTCAAATATTTTCTTATTGTTCAAACAAACAAAACAAAGAAGGGGGGCTTGGTACATCTAGGACAGTTAATGAATGAGATATTACAATTAGACAGAGAATATAGCCACTCCCCATCACAGGATTTAATGAAAAACATTTATTACTTCAAACTGAATTTAATACTTTTGTCTACTCAGCAGGCATAATAATTAATCTCTAAATCTAGATAGAGTTACTGTGAACACAGTGAAAAAGCTGGGCGCCTGCTTGAGCATCAATTGCGGCGACAGTCAGTCAACCAAACTATTAGGTTGATGGTCCTCCTTAATCATGTGAGCAGCTGGTTTTGGTTGTCAGCAGCAAACTGGTTGATCCACTATGAGAATGTGCTATTTATAAGACTGAGCTGAACACAGCACCTCAGACTGAAGAAGTATTTCGGATGAAAGACGAAATGTTTCTACCTTTTTTTGTGTTTGTTTGTTTTGTTTTTTGAATGTCCAGAGGACCTGACTTAACTTTTTTTTTAGATTTTTCTACCTGGATTATTGAGCATGCATCAGGATGTCTGACTTTAGTTTCTTTCAACTGTACTATACTGTAATGAAGGAAAAGCAGGAGTGAACATGAACTCAGAATAAGATAGCTCAAAATAAGAACAAGGTGTGAGGCTGTGATCTGCTTTGTGATGGAAATGACGGAGACAAAAAGGGAACATTAGAAGGAGAGGACTCAGTTCAAACAGACTGATATGATCAGCTGAGCTCATCACTGTGTCAGGTGGTCTCTGTGCCTGTTTGCCCCTCTTCAGAGCTTAGCAACCTACCACAGGTAACCATGAACCACTAAGGCAAACCCTTTTAACATAAAATCAGATTCACCACGCTTACATTCCAGATATCTGAAACTGATTTATGACTAGACATATTAGTTATTTAAGATATCTCTAATTACATTCTGACTAGTCATAATGACGTCAGATTTACCATTGAGTTGTATGGAGGCTTCAATTCAAGATATCTAGAACTGAATTTTGACTAGTCAAAAATACAGTTCTAGATATCTCTAAGCTAATTTTGACTAGTAATTAATTGCTTTCAAGATATCTTGCTTTTAGTTCTGACTAGTCATAATTACAATTAAAGATATCTTAAATTACATCATTATTCAAGATATCTTAAATGTATTTTTAGATATCATAAATAAAAATTTGACTAGTGCAAATTAAATTGTAGATATCTTGATAGCAAATAACGACTAGGCAAATCTAAATTAAAGATATCTAGAACTGTACTTATGACTAGTCAAAATTCCTTTTAAAATATCTCAAAACGAATTCAAGATATCTTGAATATTTTTTCATGTAGATGGCTTTTCTATTTAAGATATCTTGAATTCACATTTTGACTAGTCAGAATGACGTTCAAGATATCTAGAATAATTATTTTGACTAGTCAAAACGTCACAGATTTACGTAGCATTTTGGCGGAAAAATCATAAAGCATTGTAGCCTTTTTATATTATAATCTGCAAAATCAGGTCAGTCCAACACAACGCTCGTATTTTTAACATGATTTATATATATATATATATATATATATATAT